TTGTTGTCGCCGGTGGTGATGATGATCTTGTTGGCGGCGATGATGATGATGATATCAATTTAAGATGTAATGCCCACAATTTTTTCAAAAGTTGATTTCTCTTAGAACGAAACATAAGCAGACCAACATAGATAGATAGATACACAGATAGATAGACAGACAGACAAACAGACAGAGAGACCGATAGATAGATAGATTTGAATAAAGTTAAAATCAAATAAAAATTAAGAATAGGCCTAAGAATTTATTCTTCTTCAATATAATCCTTCATTCATCTGTCTTTTAGCTAAGAATCTGTAATTAGAAGTAAAATTTAACATTAAGGGGAAAATAGTAAAATTGAATAAATACACACATACACATATGTATATATATATATGTATAATATAACTTCAGTGTGTATGTGTATGTGTGTGTGCATGTGTGTGTGTGTGTGCGTGTGCGTGCGTGTATGTGTGCGTGTGCGTTAATTATCCATCCATCCATACATACATACACATTGAAAATTATTGGCATTATATGTTGGAAGACACAAAAATAAATGATAGCCATTGAAAAAAAATTTGAAGAAAAAATAACAATTAAGAATTTTTTTTTTTTTGAAAATAAAACAAAATTTTTTCTTTTTAAATCTCTCTCAAATTTTAAATCTGTAACTTATTAATTATTATTATTATTTATTTAGTATCTTTATTATTATTCTTATCAATAAAAAGTATTTAATTATCTATTCACTTATCATTTTCATGAAAAATTAACCATTTTAAAAATAAATATATCAAACCAAACCAAATAACAACAACAGCCTACAACAATATAAATAACAATAACATCAATTACAACAACAACAACAACAATAACAATAACATTAATAATAATAATAATAATAATAAAACAATCAAGATAAAACTTTTCTACAAAAACACATCACCATGCTATGTTAGTAGTCGCCTGCTTTCTCCTCGATAAGCATGCAAGAAGTGTGTGGACAGACAGACCGGGGGCTGCCTATTTATAGTTTTGAGTTAGTAAGTAATTAGTGCTATACATTACATATACCTATTTTACATTTATATATAAGTGTATATATATATATATGTGTATGTATAAATAATATACGATCGAAAAATGTTTATATTATGTAAGTATAAGCGTGTGTGTATTTTTATATATGTTTATATGTTTGTATATATATATATATATATTATATGTGTATACATATATGTATATATTAATGTGTATTAAATGCATGCAAAGGGATTTGGTTATCAATTCAATCAGATATGTTTGTAATTGTTTGTGTGAATTAAATTAGCGATTTTTTTGTTGCAGTTTTTGATGTAATTTTTTAGTTAAACTTTTTAGTCTAGTTAGTTAGATGAACTTAATAATATGAATTTAGAAATTATTTAGAAACTATTGAATACTTGATTGATAGAAAAATTGCCTAAAAAATGAATCACAAATGAATGGATGAAAATGTTATTCAATGAATGAATGAAATAACAGTGGAAATAAAAATATTTGTAATTAATTAAATTAGTCAGTCAGTGAACTAAACTAAGAATTACAATTAATTTAAAAATCAACTATTCGAAAATTAAAAAAAGAAAAAACAGACAGCAACACAATGCAAAATAAGGACATAAAATAAATAAATGAAAAAAAAGAAATATTAATAAACAGAATTTTAATTAAGCAACCAAATGTAAATAACTATGTAAAATAAAAAATGTAAATCTAAAAGTAAATTTTAAAAAATTAAATTTTGAATTTTTCAAATCATATGTATACAAAACAAAAACACAGGAAAAGACGCACGCACAATAAAATGCAAAAATAACTTTTCAAATAAATCTCGTAAAATATAAAACCCCAACACTAACTTCAGTGAAATAAATCCTAAATTAGATTATAAAATGGTGCAAAATACTAGAAAAAAACTCCATTATTGATACTTCTCGTATTAACACTCACGGCACTTTAAACATAGAGAGACATAACAATTTGTTTTTCGCCTAAACAATAATTATCTATGATTTCGTCTACCACAATCCGTCTTATTCAAATTTTAATCAAATTTTGACATAGGTGTACAATTAACTCATTTAATTTTGTGATATATTTACTAAATATTAATTATATTAATGAGAAATATTAAATTATTCAGTTAAAAATATGCACTAAGATAAAATTATGAAGACAAAAAGATGCTATCAGATCTAATCAATACAATAGAAAATTTAATTACTCTAATCAGATTTCGTGTTTGGAGAAAAAGTAAAAGTTAAACTAGCAATCAAAGTAAAAATTAAACTTTTCTAGAAGTAGTAGTTTATATAAAAGAGGAAACCATCAAAGATTTACACCTAACAATAATCAAACAACATGCCAAATCCGGCAAACTTTAATACAGATCTTATCACGCATAAACACGCAACGCAATTAAACAGCGAATAATCGGTCTGCACACGCACGTACGTACACGCACACGCACACTCACACACACACACACGCACACATATGTATTACGACAACCACAATGACGACGAAAATCAAGAAGATCATGACAAAGATGATGAAGATCATGACGACGACGACGATGTTGATGATGATGATGATGACGGTGATGATGATAATGGTGATGATGACGGTGATGATGATGATAATGATGAGAAACAGGAACTCTATCGAAAGCAGAGCATGGGCTGAAGAAACAAAACGCAGAAATTTTTTATCAGTAAAAAATAAATTGAGAGAGAGAGAGAGAGAGAGAGAGAGAGAGAGAGAGAGAGAGAAAGAGAGAGAGATAAGGTTCGAAAAATAAAAATTTATTTTAAAATTAAATATATCAAAAACAAAACTAATAGCAACAAATAGTGCAACAAAAAAGCAAATAATGGATGAATTGAGGAAAAATATGGGAATAAGGAAGAAATAGTTATTGATAGCGAGATTGGAATATTAACTAAATAAATAAAACTAATTAAGACTGAAAGTGATAGAGAGAAGATGCATAAATTAGAATAGATAGAGAGAGAAAAAAAGGAGAGAGAAAGGGAGAGAGAGAGAGAATGGGTTTGGAGAGAGGGTATGGTGCCAGACAGGCCGGCTTTGTACGGATGTTCGGTCGACCGAGTCACCAGGCATTCCCTCGTTGACGCCGATCGTCTGCTCGTCGTCATCGTCTTCATCACCGTCATCATCATCAACGTAGTCGTCCTCCTTCTCTTCATCATCAATTTTATTTCCCGTGACATCATTTGTTTGGCTATTGTTTGTTTCACGAGATTTTTTGATTGCTTTTTTGTTTGTTTGCATTTGTTGTTGTTCGCTTGAGATTTCTTTGGTTTTCTTCTATGTGGTTTTTCGTCTGTAAGTCCATGATTGTATTGTATTTTGCTGTATTGTATTGAATTGTTTTGTCTTGTGTTGTATTGTGTTGTATGTTATATTGTACATTATATTTATACGTGTCGTTGTTCTGTTTCAATTCATTTTTGTAGTAGCATTAGCAGTAGTATTAGTAGAAGTAGTAGAAGTAGTAGTAGCAGTAGTAGTAGTAGTAGTAGTAGTAGTAGTAGTAGTAGTAGTAGTAGTAGTAGTATTAGTAGTAGTAGTGGTAGCAGTAGTAGTATTAGTAGTAGTAGTGGTAGCAGTAGTAGTAGTAGTAGTGGTGGTAATTGTTGTTGCTGTTTATTGTTTGAAATTATTTTCATCTCATTTTTGCATTTTTTATTCGATAAGAAAAGAAATTTTTAAAACAAAAATTGTCTGTTGTGCTGATGTCTGCTGCTTTGTTGGATGAAAAATATACAGAAGAGAGAAAGAGAGAAATAGAGAGAAATAGAGAGAGAGAAAGAGAGAGAGAGAGAGGAACTTGCAAAACAAATTTGTTTTGATGATGCAAATGCATTGTTTAAAATTTTGAATCATGAGTCAATTGCATCGCATGGGTTTCCTGCGTTCATTCATTCTTTCATTCATTTACTAATTCTTTCAAACGTTCATCTGTTTGTTTGTATGTTTGTATGTTTGTTTGTATGTTTGTTTTTTCGTTCATTAATTCATTCACTCATTCATTTCTTCGTTTTTCCATTTACCCTCTAATTCCATCTTTACATCATATTTTTTTATTAATTCATTTTTTCTTTATTCATTTCTTCATTCATTCATTTTTTCGCTCATTTTTTCATCCATTCATTTTTTCACTCATTCAATCGTTCATTCATTCATTCATTCATGCATTCATGCATTCATTTATTCATTCATTCAAAATATGTGACGGTTCATGTAGCCATGTTGTCTGCAAAGGATAATTGTTGTTGTTGTTATTGATGCGGTTTTTCATTATTATATTTTTGTTGTTGTTTCTGCGATTCTGGTCGTTACTGTTTTTATTATCCTTATTATTATTACTATTGTTATTATTATCATTATTGTTGTTGTTTTTATGTTTGTTGTTGTCGTTGTTAACGATGGAGGAAATTATGACGTCACTGTGTTGTTGCTTTGATTGTTTACGCTCGTTTTTTTTGTTTGTTCTATCATCATCATCTTCTTCTTCTTCATCGTCATTGTCTTCATCATCATCGTTATGGTTGTAATTATTATCATCGTCATCATCATCATCATCATCATCGTCATCATCGTCATCGTCATCATCGTCGTCATCACCATCATCATCATCATCATTTGTATAATGTATCAAATAGACAGACAGACAGGGCTCGAGTGCATACTGAAAAATTTGACCAAAAAAAAAATAAAAATTTCACATTAAACTTACTTTAAATAAAAAAAATTTAAATAACAATGAAAACTCTGTTATTGCTTTTTTCTCTTTCCTTCTTTTTTGTCTCACTCTTTCTTTCTTTCTTTTCTCTTTTCATCTGTCTAATTTTCTCTCTCTCTTTCTCTCTCTCTTTTTCTCTCTCTTTCTCTCTTCAATTTAAACGGCTTATTTTTCAATCTCAATCATTCTGCGAATAATTTTCATTTTATATCTTTCATTTTTCTCGTGTTCAATCGTTCTCTCATTCTTTTTTTCTTTTATTTTTTTCTTCTTAATTTTTGTCTCTCTCTCTCTTTCTCTCTCTCTCTCTTTTTCTCTTTCTTTCCTTTTCTATCTTTTACATCTTTCTTTCGTTTTTCTCATTTTGATCATTGCTCAAAGGTTTTCAAAACTCAACGAACTTACTGCCATCTGCAATCCAATTATAATTTACGTTCACAATGGGACATTTGGTGGAGTTGATGAGAAGTTGGATGAAATCTAGCTAGGTGAAGCTAGTCCATATGCCTCTCCCCACAATTCTTTTCCAATGACTTCACAGAAATTTTTACATAGATTTGGTAAAATTCTGACCGAAAAAACTTCTTCAGCCCCAACAGCACAACACGACAGATTAAGTTAATTTAAATACGGTACAAAACCACTGATAAGTAATAGTAGTAGTGGTAGCAGCAGAAGTAGCAGTAATAGCAACAGTAGCAGCAGCAGTAGTAGTAGTAACAGCAGCAGTAGAAGTAACAACAGTAGCAGTGAGATGATGATGAAAAAGACATCCGACGACGACCTTTTAGATTCGGTGACAAATTTTTGATAAGTAGAGGCGCCATGGAGCACAAACACATCACAAATATTAAGTGCTTTTTATGATTAATCATAAATAATAATAATAATAACAAATAATAATAATAACAATAATGATAATAATAAATAAAAAATAATATACTAACAACGGCCTAAGCAAAAACAACTTCAACATTGTCACCGATGACGATCTGATGATGGCTTAAATATTTCATTCATAGACGTTATCTTGTTGTTGTTGGATTGTTGGATCTCTCTCTCTCTCTCTCTCTCTCTCTCTTTATCTTTTCTCTCTCTCTCTCTCCTTATCTTCTCTCTCTCTTTTTCTGTCTCTCTCTTTCTCTTCCTATGTACATATACATATGTACATATAGTTTAAACAATAATTTCTAAAATATTTATGTAAAAAACTCATATAGATATACAATTTTACAACAAAAGCTAAAAATTTGCACGCAATATCATTGAGAAATATGACAAAAAACGACGAAAACAACATAGTTGGTATAGAAACATAAATATTATACAATCATACATACAAAACTAATGTTGCAATTAGATGTATACCATACAATCATACATACAAAACATTTGAAACATACACATATATCATACAATCACGCATATACAAAACACCTGATACATAAATCTCACGTAAAAACATTAATACAAGATACATGGATACATACTCCACTACAAAATACAAACGAAAGATACCTAAACACATACAAAAAAATACATAAAATACAATACAAAACCTCTAGCGATACAGTCATTCAGGCGCGAGATGACACATAAAAGCAATAAAGCATGTTATAGAGAGTGCAAATAAGTAAATAAATAAAAATATAAATAAAATATATATATATATATAAATATATAATAAATAATAATAATATTATTATTATTAAACATTTATTTCATTTATTCTTTTATTATTTGTTGTATTTATTCGCTCCATCATGTGTATAGCTTAGCTTTGTTTTCTTACAGACGTTCATTGAAATGTGGGAAAAAATTCATGGAGAAATACTTCTTACTCTCTCTTTATCTCTTTATCTCTCTTTCTCTCTCTGTCTCTCTCTCTTTATCTCTATCTCTCTCTCTCTCTCTCTCCGTATCTTTTTATATACATGTACAAATACATACTTATAACAGACTTTTGTTAAGCGTATATACCTACATCGTTATGTCTGTGTACAACACATAAACACACATACACGTACACAAAAACATACGCACAAACACACACACACACTCAAATGTCCCTCTCTTCCTTTCTTTCTCTCTCTCTCTCTCTCTCTCTCTCTCTCTATCATTGTTAATTCAAATATTTTTATGAACATAAAATACAGGACAGGAAGAAGAATAAAAATTTTTTTGCCATTGAAAAAAAAAGCGACGAACTTGCAACAAAGCATCGTTAATTACATTTCTGACGAGTTCTGTACGAGCGAGCGATAAAAAGAATAAGGCACAAAAAAATGTAAAAATTTCATTTTACTTCTTTGTTTATTTTTGTCTATCTGTCTGCATCCTGCTCGCTGGCATGTGAGTTGCATGCAACCGTTTAATTGTTATGGTCTGTCGCCTCACTGCCACTATTACTACTGCTACTGCTAGTACTACTACTGATGCTACTACTACTACTACTACTACTACTACTACTGCTGCTGCCGCTACTACTACTACTGCTGCTACTACTACTACTACTGCTGCTGCTGCTACTATTACTACTGCTGCTACTTCTGCTGCTTCCGTCTTTACTACTACTACTACTGCTACAGTACTTATGCCACTACTTTTAACACTTAACACTTGCACACACAAACAAACCCCACAAGCATGGACATACACACACAAACAAACAAGCACACAAACAAACAAACAAGCACAAGCACGTAAGCAAGCACATTACGTGACAGCATCATTTAATAGCGCCGACGGAATAATGTCTGTTTTAATTTCTCGGTACGTCAACGCTAATACCTGCGCGAGTAACGCAACACACGCCAATACCTACGCACACGTATAAGCACACGTACACATGCACACACGCACACATACACGCACACATTTTCGCACCTGCAGTAGATTTACAGGTGTGAATCTCCGCTTACAAGTGGTCGGTCGTGTCTTTTTCATTTTATAGCTATGGTGATAAGGATGGTGAGAACGATGAGGACGATGAGTATGATGAGGATGGTGAAGACGATGAAGATGAAAAAGATGATGTGGATGAAGAAGATGATGACGATTGCAAAAATAACCAATAATAACGATTATTGCATTTAAAAGATAGTCAAACTTAGTAGCGATTTGATGATGATAAACCTGACTGAAACAATCATAATAATAGTAAAGAAAGTGATAATATTATATTTATTATTGATGGTGATGAAGGTTGTGATGATGACGACGATGATGACGACGAAGAGGACTAAGCCGTATATCGAGTAAGGATAATAACTTAATGACGTAATACGAGTGAGCGTACGCACATGACATGCACTCATTAACATCCTCCACTTATCTAGCACTCTCTGAACTTTGCCCAACAACATCATCATCGTCGTCGTCGTCATCGTTATTTTCATCATTATCACTGGCGAATTTAGGAGGTTCGGGTGAAAGGTCATGACCCTCCATGGTTAACAGTCAACAGTTCAGCAATGATTTTAATGTATTTTTTTTTAATTTAGCAAACATTCATCGCTTTTTAAAGCACTTTTTTGAACGGCAAAATTTACGTAAAAAAATCATAAAAAAAAAATCAGATCATAAAAAAAAATCATAAGAATCAAAAAAATCAAATCGTAAAAAAATTTTTTTCTCACAGACTTTAAGCCACTTCTGCGAAAAAATTTCCAGTTTACAGCCCCGTCAAAGTTCTCTGCTGGATCACCCTTTCTCCAATAGAACTTTCTTGAAATTATTACGATACCCATTGTATTATCATCACCCTCAGCTCATTATCATCTGAATTCGGATAGGATGTATACGGCTATTATAAGCGCCATGTCGCAGGTTCATGTCATCATCAACCACATCATCATCATCATCAACCACATCATCATCATCATCAACCACATCATCATCATTATCAACCACATCATCATTATCATCCACATCATCATTATCAACACCATCATCATCATCATCACCATTCATCACTATTACCATCATCGTCGTCCTCATCACCATCTCACTGGGACATCACTATCACCTATGACGTCATTATTAGTAACGGTAATTCCTCCTACTAACGCCATAGTCAATAACGCCATCAATGTTATTACCAATCGTCATCATTGCCATCCTCATCTTCACCGTCGTCAATGATATCATTATCACCACCACCATCGTCGTCGTCATCGTCACAATCATTCAGTGCACTTTTAATGTGTACTCAGTTTACGGTTACATACACACACACCGTAGAAATAGTGGTAGTAGTAGTATTTGTAGAAGTAGTAGTAGTGTTTGTAGAAGCAGTAGTAGTAGTAGTAGTAGTAGTTACTAGCTGGTAGTGGTGGTCGCTTCTTTTGTAGTAATCATTAGTAGCAGCCAGAAAGTAATAGCGATAGTAGACATTGTAGTAGTAGAAATCGCAGTAGTAATAACAGTTGCAGTAATTTAAAATTAACATATGAAGTCTAGTACAGTAACTGCAGCAGAAATAGTAGTAGTAAAGTGGTAGCAAGAGTAATAGCGATTGTGTGGTAGAAGTAGTAGCACCAGCAGTAGTAGTAGACGAAGTAGCAGTAGCAGCAGCAGCAGCAGCAGTAGTAACAGTACTGATATTGACAGTTATATTTATAGAGAGTGACAGATGATAATAAGGAGAAAATTGATGTGATTGATATAATAGAATTGACTGACATATGCACTATTATAACGACATCAACTCGATAGCAGTGCGAATTAATTAACGCTAAATAATGTATGCCTACACGCACATATACGCACGTACCTACACGTACACACGTGCACACAGACAAAAATTATAACGATCAGGAATGATAAAACCCACACACATACATGTTAAAACCTATCCTAATAAAAAATTACACTAGTATACTTAGGAAAGAAGCGAAAGCTCATCAACATACAAGTCTAAATACATACAAAACGCGCACACATACACACGAACACACACGTATACAGCGCATACGGTTGAAAAATATGCATACCTATATTTCTTCATTTTGTACGTTAATGCAAGGCTCATCAAAAAAAAAATATCCCATACACACGCGCATCCTAATTTGGTTTGTATATACATACAACACACACACATTCTGCACGAAGTAAACCACACACATAATAAAATGCAAGGCGCGAAAACATAATTAATCCTCAAACTCTTTGATACCTCTCACTTTCACAAGCTTCTACAGAAAATTGTTTTAATTATCTCAAATTTTTTTCATTTTTAATTAAAAAAAAGAAAAAAGTTTTTTAATTCTTTTATTGAGCTATGTACATCACTTTTTTTTACATATTTTTTCCCTTTTTTTCGGTATCTTTTTTTCATTTATTTATTTCTTTCATTATTTTTGATTTTTATTCGATTTTTTTCATTTTCAAGTTTTTTTTCATGAAAAATATAAAAATGTTGACACTTACATACGGTATGATAATAATAAGGATGATGAAATGTTAAGAGGAGAAACATACATCATGCCCTTTAAAAATATAATCTTACATACCAATACCAATACATGGCTCTAGCATAAACATACAACACACGCACACACAAACAAACACAATATGTATACCAAAAAGTCAACAGAAAGACTTACTAACCAGTGGTGATTGAAATAACAAAACATCGACCCAACATAAACAAGAATCCAACTTTCCACCATTTGAAAAATTTAATAAACTATTTTTTCTTTACTATAAAAAAAATCCTTAAAATCAATAATAGTAATAAAAATAATAATAATTAACTGTCATAATTAATATTATCCTAATATTAATTATAAAACAGCGTAAAGCTAGTGTCTGATTCGTGGACTAACAACATGAAATGTACAAACACACACAGACAGACAGACAGACATATATATCATTATAATCCGTCGTACACCCACAACACCGCAAATGAAAAATTTCTTGCAATAGAGTGACGCCATCAAACGAGCAATTCACTCAATAGGGGCTATAATAATGGGGCCTCCTGGACCTGCCATAACCCCCTCGACCCCTGTAAACTCTAGGCGAGTATGATGGGTATTGGTGCATGTAACTGCCCCCTCCTCTTGCCCTCATTCCTCGACCTCTAGGTGGCCTGTTTGTCGACGTTAACCCGTGTTTGTTTGTTCTTTTACATGTGACCTATTGATTAAAAAAAAATTAGTCAAGAAGACAAATAAGTAAATAAAACCAACAATAAAATGACATCTAAAGAAGTTTTATTCGATAGAAAAATGTAAGAAGCTGTAAATTCCTAAACCTTGATCTGCCTGCCTCTGAAGAGAGAATCATTGAGAGCCATGGCAGGATCGATAGCCTCGATGTTCGCGAACTCGACATAGGCAAAGCCCTTCGGGTGACCGCTGAATTTGTCGCAGAGTATCGTAACTCGATTGACTGAACCGCATCCGTGGAAATGTGCCTCCAGTTCCTCGGCCGTTGTGCCATAGTCAACCTGGTGAGTGTGACAAAAGTAAGCGGGTGAACGTAAGTGAAACTATTTGGAAAGAGTAAATGATGATGGAAACACATGAGAATGTGTGCACACACACACACACTCACAGACACACATGTTGAATTGTTCAAGTCCCCCTCAGTGATTAAATGATTTCATTTAAAAAAATCCACTATCTATCAATACTCTAACCTGAATCAATATGACATCATCGCAGGACAGAAAAAATATAATTAAATAACGAATAAATAAAATAATAGATACACTATAATTATTATGAATTTATATTAATTATAAATATAATAATTATAAGGCCTTCCTTGCTCAGTGATCAAGTGATTTCATGTACTACATTAATATCAATACTCTAACCTGAATCAAAATGACATCATTGCAAGGCATATGCACTTCGAAGTTTGAAATAAATGTTTACAACACATGTAAATATATGCAAATTTACATACACACACACCCACACTAAACAGAAACACTTTAGTTTTAATAGCACTCTATCGATATGATATACATTGTAATGATGTATGCTATATCAGACATAATCAAAAAATATATTGATATAATGATTTGCACACAGACACACACACAAATTTAATGTTAATTCTAAAACCTCACTCAGAAGCTGAAATGATCTCATATACAATTACTAGTTAGCATCAATACTCTAACCTGAATCAATGTAACATCATTGTGAGGAATGCATAGACAAAACTACATTAACAAATAAACTAACAAACAAATAAATGGCAACATAAATTTATTTCAAAATTTGAATTCAAAGACATTCATCTATAAATTCGAAATAGTAATTAGCTCAAAACAAAAAAAAAACCAATATCCAAGTTGAAAATATTAGACTGATGCAGGTAGAGCGATAACAAACATTTTATTCGGCCCCAGCCTCAACCAAACCCAAAGATCAAAAATAAATGTTGGAAGAAAAAAGAGTAAATAAGTAATATTTAAAAAATATATTAGCTAACATTGCCTATCCATATTGATCTGGCATCTGCTTCTAATTTATCGGCCTCAGTCATGGCTGTTGTTGCAGGTGGTGTAACTAAAATAAAAAGTTGAAAAAATTATGAAATTACTCTTACTAATTTTGAATAAATTATTTATTAGTAAAATACTAAATTTTTTAAAAATTTATGGACAAACATATAAAAATTTCATAGTTAGTGTTTATTAAGATTTATAACAAGAATAAATGTAATTATCTTCACCAATGGACTGACCAACAGTCGTAGGCCCCAGATTCATTTGTTTCTCGACTTCACTTTGCATGGCCCTTATCTTCTCAGCCTCGTCCTCCATCTCTCGAACTCTGGCCTTTATGGCTTCTAATTCCTAAAAAAATGAAGATTATTTATTACATTTATCAATTTTAGATTATCTTTTTACTTTATATTTATTTTTTAAATATTTTATTTTACATTAAAAAAATCCGAACCGGATCTTCTGAACTTGTATCCCCGGCACCATTACTTGAACGTTGGGTCTCATTTAATTCAACATCTTCTGATGTTTCGTCGAACTGGTAACTTTGATCTTCTCCATTGACAGACATTTTCTAAAATGAGTAAATTAATAAATGAATAAATAAACGCATATACGAATAATATTTGAATTACGAAAAAATTCGATAGACACATAAGAAGCCAGGCGAAAATGGTTTTTACTGACAACAGGTTAAAATTTACATTTAGAAAGCGGCATGAAAGAAAATTAAAAAAATTTAACTCAAACACCAAACAAAATATAACAAAAATTTTAAAAATTAAATTATAAATAACTTACATTTTACATAAAATTTGTCAACTAATCTTAACGAGACGATATGAAATAAATATTTTACAACTTTTCGTTAACAAATGTTATTTCCGGAAAGACCAAAGACCAAAATACAATTAAGGTAACAAGAATAATGGGATAAACTTTATAAACAAATATATATATATATATATATATATATATATATATACATATATATATATATATATATATATGACAGAAAATTAATGAATAATTGAAACATATACATAAAATTTACATATAAATAAAATAAAATAAATGTAAATAGATAATATGTAATGGTATTTTATAATGGAATCGCGCTACACTGGTTAGGTTAGGCATCGAGATATCGCATCATGGCCAGAAATCATTCATGAGACCTTTCCACTATCCTAACACCTGAAAAGTTTCGTGTGGATATATTACTCGACTCCAAGAAGTCGTTTATACTCACCCTGGATCACACCCTACTTACTGGATCATATGTTTAACCCCAATCTATGAAGCAATTCGGAATTAAGATTTTACGAATTAGGATTTAAAAACGAGTTGGTTGAATTGTTATTTGAAGCGAATTGAAAATGGTAAAAAAATTATTAAAAACCATTTATTGCTGAATTACTTTGCAAGAAATAAGTTAAACATAATAATTTTTATTTATAGAAATATCGCATTTAGTTCGTTGGCAAACGAGGTCTGAAATCGTCAACGTTGTCGTTTTCATCGATATCATTTTCGTTGCTTTTTCTCGAGAGCGTGTTCGTTTTGACGACGTTTGTGCTCTTCTTAGCTACTGGCAGCAAGCCAGCAAATGTAGTTTTGAAATTTGTATCTAAACCATCAACTCTTGTAACAATTTTCACATGAAACGGAAGAGAAATATCTTGCTTTTGAATTTTTTTCTTTAAAACGGCCTTCCGTTCTAAAGTCTTCTTGTCTTTCTCAGAAAACATTTTTTGATAACTTCTAGTTATTGGGCTGGAAGATGACAGGTCGGACTGACTGTTGCATTTTTTCTTCCGTCCAAAGGGGGAGTTTGATGATTTTTCAGCTTGATCCTTCGATCTATTGGGACTTATTTTCATTTCATTATTTTTCGGCGCAATCCACAGCAAGTCATTCGGATCTTTTGTTAAAGTTTTGTAACGAGAAAAAAATTTATCAGCCGACGTGATATCCGACCATCTAATTTTAAGACATCGACTCTGCCCGCTGGACTCGTTCAACAAATGTGACCTGCCGTCGTCAGCTTTTCTGTAGTCAGTACTGTAGCAGACCCTGTCCTGCCACAGTGGGATTCCTGTGTCACGTTCGGCCAGGACGATTGCTAATCTCCTCGGACGCCTGAACTCCAATCCGACATCGAGGACGAGTACAGGTACTCCGACCCAAACCTGGACCCACCTGTACGGCGAGTTGTCGCCATCAGCAGCAGCTCGGACGCTCATCAACACGTCCACTACGCAGTTTGCTACGTAGGTTTCCGAGCCGAGACTCGAATAGAAAAATTCTATGCGATCGATATCTTCCCCAGTTAATGTTAAAGACGAGCATCGAGGATCTGCTGCTGATTCTTTTGAAGATGTTTTTTTGTTTTGTTTCATGTCCTTTATGATGTCGTTTTGACTTTTTCTGTTCGAGAGAAGTTGAGACGCAGCGTAAGAAACTCTGTTGAAGTCTGTGCAATTTTTGTCTTTGTGTCCGCGCTGTAGGACGTGCATTAATTTTGCATCCTCGTCTTTGTCAACGTCATCGTCATCAACCATTTTTTTGCATTTCCTATTATTTTTATTACCGCCATCCTCAGAAGCTTCATCAATAGTATCTGAACTAGATAGGTTGAAGCACTTAACTCTCAACTGTCTCATACGAAATGAATCAAATTTTCTCGTTACTCTTTTCAACGCTTTCAACGTTTCCTCGTCGTATTCGCTAACTTTATGAAACTCTTTGGTTGACGGTTTGAATTTATTCTTACTTCCGTATTTATCATCAGTCTCAGGGACGGCATCAATTCCGACGCTATTTACGCTACTGCTGTTGCTTCCGTAAGGATAAATGCCGAAGAAAGTTTGATAGTCGTCGACGTTTAGATACAAATTTCCATTGTTCGCTGCTAATTCCTTGCTGATGCCGTGCTTGATTTTTAAATCACCTGCTGATTTGCTGTGCTTTTTTTCGACGGCTGGATGATGATAATGAGTTTCGAAAGGACGATTTGCGTGAAGGTTTCTTCCAAAAGTTTTTCCAAAAACTGGCGATTCCAAATCAATATTTTCAATTTCTGAAATTTCAGAGGTATATTTTTCTGACTTTGTAGTGTTATTGTCGTCTGCGTGGTTGATTTTAATCGTTATAGGATTCGAGTTGTGGTTTAAGTTGGCGTCTATATGCCTACCATCATCGAAATTTGTGCTCATTTTTGGTACGTCGTAATAACTACTGATGTGATCTTCAAACGTAGAAACCACAATTGGCGATCCGACTTTGCTAGAATCAACTGTAACAGTAGGCTTCAGGAAGGTCGATTGGAATGTATTAGTATAGTCCATTTTGTTTGACGCCAATTACAAATTTTCAAAACCGAAATTTTGTTATTCAACTACAGAAATAACTACTGGCAATTTTGTTATTCAACTACAGAAATAACTACTGGCAATATTTAAATTTTTTTTATCAAATAACATTTAAGTTAAATCACACATTCTTATCAAATTTTATAACTTCATTACTTATGAGTTATTACTTATACTTATGAGGTAAATACGAATTGAGAAACGATAAATGAAGGTATATCGTTGAAAAGACATTGCACATGACGGTTTACATTCCTTTAAAACATCCTGGTGTATAGCCCTTTGTTGACGCGACAAGATGTTTAATTACACCTACTTTTCACTAATATCCAAATATAAAGATAATAATAATAATAATAGAAATAATTACACTAAGACAATAAAAACTAGAATAATTGCATGTACGGCATCTTGCTTTGATGAACAATAGCTAATAAGAGAGCTAATTTATTATAATTATATACTAAAAATAATCTAAATAGTATTTATTGTGACTATGGATATAAATCCTTGATTGTGTGGGAAATCTGGAGATTCGTTATCAAGCAATTTTAGTATGGTTCTTAATTGGTTATATTTACGTGAATAGATAGATAGGCAGGTTTCACGATTTAATCAGGCTAGAGAATTTTCAGGCTCATTAAAGTGTATTATGAAATAATGGCATAAAAAAGATAATTTTGAAATATACATTATTATAAATTGTCAAACAAAGAGATATTATCTAGTTTAACAATTCAAAATGTTTTTAATATCAGGTGCTTGAGTCATTTTTTCAATTAATCAAATCACAATTTAGTTAAAAAGGTAACATTTTTCATCTAAAAAAAAGGTTAAAACTGTGATTAAGAATTTTTTTGCGAAAACATGACATTATCATCGAAAAAGCATGAAATGTTGGTTACATATATAGATAGTATATACATATGGCTGGATATTCTGGATATTCTAAGTATATGGCTGGTTATTATGGTTTATAAAACCCTTAATAAATGCAAATGCTTTTTTCGCCGAGGAATTATCGAATTTACTTTTAATCACGGAACCTATATTTTTAGCCATTAACAACATAAGATAAGTAATGTTTATTTTATGTCTCGTTTGTTTTTTCTTTTATTATAATTAAGGATTTTTTTAGATAAATATTTTATAGAATTGAACCGTAAAATATATTTTTGAACTGAACGTTTTGATGTTGTAAATGATGGCTATTAATTTTTTCTCCTGTTAAAACCGGAAATTAGTGTGAAGTGGTCATATTTCACATTCACTGTTTAAATAGCAATTGAGCAGGTAATTATTTTTTGGAAAGTAATTTTTAGTAAAAAATTAGGTTAACTTTTTTAGAAAATATCGGATTATTTAATCTTGATACCATAAATCATAAATAGATAGATTGATAGAATAGATAGAGAATAGCTAGGTAGATAAATAAAATACTAGATAGATACTAACTAGAGATAGATAGATATGTAGTGTTGTTTTTCAAAGCATAAGAATAAATTTAATTAAAAACTAAAGTAAGATTGTCTATTCATTTATTTATTTTTATTAACAAATTAGTAGCAAATATTAATCATAAGGTTGATGGTTAAAAGTTAAATTAAATAATAATTTAAAAGATAAATTAATTTTTTCAGCATCATCAACAAGAGAAAAGCTAGCTTTTTGTATGTAAAATCAACCAATCTCTTATACAAATTTTTACAACTCAACTTTGGGGTTTCGTCTACATATTGCTGCATGTCAATCAAATCACTAATTGGACCTCGCTTGATTAATTAACCTAGTCACTATTTACTCCAAAATGTCTGCAAAGGAGAGATTAAAAGCATTAGAGAAAATGTACCTGAGTGGACCAAAGAATAGTGATGGGCGGTCACTAAGTATTGAAACTCTTCTGGATATTTTGGTGGTTTTGTACGACGAATGCTGTAGTTCGACGCTGAGGAGAGAGAAGAGTGTGTCGGAATTCGTTGAATATGGCAAGTTGCTTTATTATAAATTTCATAATTAAGATAACTGTTTTATTATTTATCATCTTTTTATTTATTTATTTATTTTTTTAAACTAACTGTTTAATTATTTATGATCTTTCAATTAAAAAATAAAATTTTATTTGGTTAACCTTTTGTGAGGCCTTTTCACATAGTTTGGGTTATTTTTTTATTAAAAAACCAATTTGTTATCTATCACCACATTACCTAAGAATGCCTAACAAGCAAACAAATAAATGAATCAGTGAATGAATCAGTGAATGGATGAAAAATCATTTCATTATTCATCCATCCATCCATCAATCAACAATTGTATAAATTTCAAAAAGTCATCATTCATCTTATATTATAAGTGATGTTAAACTTTTTTTTATGTCTTTTCTTTGTTTCCTTCTCTATCTCTTTTTACTCTCTGTCTTTCTTTTTTCTCTTTCTTTCTCTCTTTTTTTCTCTCTCCCTTTCTCACTTTATTTTTCTTTAAAGTTCTGCTGTTACATTCTATGAGTAGTTTAGTTGAAGCATTCCAATCACTGAACAACAACATGCACTGTTTCATTACTCATCAGCATCTATTTGCATGGAGGTTTTCCAATGCTAACATCTTCATCATCGTCATCTTCTTCTCTATTATCATTATCATCTTCTTCTTCATCTTTATGATTATCACCATTTTCTTTATCATCATCATTGTCATTATTGTTGCTGCTGCATTCATCATCATCATCATTATCATTGTCGTCATCATTTTTTCCCCTCTGTTTGTTTGTCTTACATGCACATACACTAACCAACACACATACATATATTCATTCATTCATTCATACATACGCATACATACACAACACATACAAACACATACAAACACAATACACATACAAAGGCTCATATACAAAGTCATACAGATTTATGTCAACATGTATTATAGGTGCATACAAACAAATTTCTACCATTACAAAAAAAATTAACATCTGTGTGTTCAAATTGCATCTCTCTCTCCCTCTCTCACTCACACACACATACACGCTCACACATTTATGTGTATATATATATATATATATATATATACTGTTTTCATTCATTTATGGATGAATTCAAAGTTCATCTCTATAAGGATCAATATGATTATTGCATAAATTATGTTAATTATCATAATTACTATCATTACCATAATTTTCTTCATGTCATTATCATAATCAATATCAGCTTCATAGTCCAAGTAATCAATTACCATCATCACCATCACTATTTTCGTCATCTCTATCATCATATTCGTCATCTTCATCTTCGTCATCACCATCAGCTAAGCCAATAGTAGCCACTGTGAAACATCTGAGATTGCAGAGGAGTGATTTTGAAACGTTGAAAGTAATTGGCAGAGGTGCTTTTGGAGAGGTTTGTTCGTTTGTATGCTTATTTGTTTGTATGTTTATACGTTTGTATGCATGTATGTAATTTTGTATGCATGTATGTATGTTTATATGTTTGTTTGTATGTTTGTTTGTTTGTATGCATGTTTGTTTGTTTGTGTATATGTTTGTATGCACATGTGTTTGTATGCACATGTGTTTGTATGCACATGTGTTTGTTTGTATATGTATGTATGCATGTTTGTTTGTATGTATGTGTGTTTATGTGTGTATTATACATACCTGCCTTTAGAAGCACTTAAAATTTGAAGAGGAAAAAAATTATTCAATAGAAATTGTTTACATTTGGAACCGTTTTTGCACAGTTTTCACACACGCACCACACACACACACACACACACACACACACACACACACACACACACACACACACACAGAGGATATAGTACATATTTATTAAATATAGTACATAAATATGTGACACATATTGAAAACAGTTATTTCAACTTTAGCTGCTTGAAAAAGTGTAGAAAATAAACTTAAAATGAACAACAAGAAAGATTAATCTGATTAATGTTAGGAGTTTAAGTTCAAACATACTCTTTGGATCCTATGTGTGTGTGTGTGTGTGTGTTTGTTTGTGTGTGTGTTTATCTGTGTGTGTGTGTGTGTTTGTTTGTTTGTGTGTGTGTGTTTGTTTGTGTGTGTGTGTGTCTATGTTGTGTGTAGTGTGCATACAAAATTGCATGATCTTTCATTCTTTATCTACTAACTTTGTTTAATGTTTAATTCGTGTGTTTTTATTTCAGGTTGTAGTTTTCATTGTAGGTATATATGTTTATGTATGTGTGTATGCGTGTGTGTGTGTTTGCGTGTGCGTGTCATGTATATATGTGCATGTTTATATGTTTGTTTGAAAAATTTGGGTGTGTGTGTTTTTTTACTGGGCTGATAATTGATTAATTACTTGCTATACCTGCTTCTTGTTAACCTTTTATGTATTTTTGACAATTATTGCCACTATTTTTATTGTTAATTATATTATTATCTATATCATTTCTACTATTTGTAATAGTAGTTAGTAGTAGAAGTAGCTAGTAGTAGTAGTTAGTAGCTGTAGTAGTAGTAGTAGCAGTAGTAGTAATAATAGTAGTTGTAGAAGTAGCAGTAGTAGTAGTAGTAGTAGTAGTAGTAGCAGTAGTAGTAGTAGCAGTACTAGTAGCAGTAGCAGTAGAGGCAGCAGTAGTAGCAGTAGCAGCATATCTGGTATTATTTATTTTAATATACCCACCATATCTCACTCTCCCAACAAGTTAATGCAATTAACTTCTAGGTTAATACATGCAACATTAGATAACACGCCCAAACTTTAAAAACGTTTCGATAATGATACTAACTACTACTACTACTACTACTGCTGCTGCTGCTACTATTACTACTACTCGTTGTTACTAGCTATTAATACGACTACTACTACTACTGCTACTATTGTTGCAATTACTTTTAATAGTAGAAGTATAGTAGTTCTTTCAATGCAGTTTTTTACTATTATTAATCGTTAATACTACTACTACTACTATTACTTCTACAACTACTACTACTACTATTACTACTACTACTACTACAGCAGCTACCACAACAACAACAACAACAACAACTACTACTACTACATGCGTGAATACTAATTATATTAATATCACTAAATAAGTAGGCATATGTAGATACAAGCACGCACGCACATACACACACACACGCACGCACAAACAAACAAACACACACACATACATACATACACATCTGCAAACAAACAAACACAAACAAACAATCACACATACTTATACGGTTCTCAGATATTATACAGTACATGCGTACAAATTTATTTTTAAAAATTTTTAATCCTAACCTCACCATTCATAGGTTGCAGTGGTGAAACTGAAAAATACAGATGAAGTGTACGCTATGAAAATTCTCAACAAATGGGAAATGTTAAAAAGGGCAGAGGTACTCCTTTTGGAACTTTTTTTTCCATGATTTGGCACATTTTTTGGGACCTCATTCAATGAAATTTGTAAATTTGGCACCTTTTTTTGTAAGTTTGCCAATATGGAGAGGCGTATGTGATGTCTGTGAAGTATCCATTTAGTTCCTATAAAAACAATATTAAAGAATAATAAAACATGATAATATAAAAACAACAATAATAATATATGATAATGATTGTCACAATTGCAGACGGCTTGCTTCCAAGAGGAGAGAAATGTCCTGATGAACAGCGATGGTAGGTGGATAACTAAGTTGCACTATGCGTTTCAGGATAATCATAATCTGGTTGGTCCCTAGCTAGCATGCAAACAAACAAGCAAGCAAACAAACAAACAAACAAAAAATTCATTTGTTTGGTTAATTATTTATTTAGCCATATCAATCAATCAATCAATCAATCAATCAATCAATCAATCAATCAATCAATCAATCAATCAATCAATCAATCAATTGACCAACCAACCACAACCAACCAACCAAACAACCAATCAGTACCTAGTTATGGATTATTATTGTGGAGGCGACTTATTAACACTGCTGTCCAAGTTTGAAGACAGACTACCTGAAGATATGGCGAGATTCTATCTAGCTGAAATGGTTTTTAATAAATTAATAAATTATGATAATGAGGCAGGTTTTTATAATAGCGATGTCAATTGTGATAATGATGATGTTGATACAAGTTATCATCATTTCAGTCAATTAACCAATCATTTGAATCAATCAATCAACCAACCTATCAATGGCTCTAATGAGTCGATCAACCAACCAATCAACTGCCACCAACCAACCAATCAGCTGTCACCAACCAACCAATGAACTATCCAATCAATGACCAGGTACTAGCTATCGACCAGCTACATAAGCTACATTACGTACATAGGGACATAAAACCTGACAACATGTTGATTGACAGGCAAGGGCATGTTGTGCTGGCCGACTTTGGCTCATGCCTCAAACTCAACTCTGATGGGAAAGTCGATATTTCTGTTGTATTTCTGTTGTATTTCTGATGCATTTTGTACAACTTTGTATTATATTGTATTGTTTTATATTGTATTGTATAGTTTCATATTTTCTGTAATTTCGTTAACTATTGCACTATTACATTTGATGTTTTGTGTTTTGTTAACAATTTAATAATTAATCATTCGTTTGGCTTGTTCGTTTATCAGTTATTCAATCATATTTACGTCACACACACACACACACACACACACACACACACACACACACACACACACACACACACACACGCACACACACGCACACACACACGCACACACACACACACCTCAGGTTCAATCGTCAGTAGCAGTAGGCACGCCCGACTACATCAGTCCTGAAATTCTTCGAGCGATGGAGGACAGTCAGGGCAAGTATGGCCGGGGCTGTGATTGGTGGTCTCTGGGTGTCTGCCTCTACGAGATGTTGTACGGGGAAACCCCGTTCTATGCAGAGTCTTTGGTCGAGACATACGGAAAGATTATGAACCATGAGGTTGGGGGATTTTTAATTTTCAGTTAAACATTCGATTATGAAATGAATGAATGAATTAGTGAATGAGAGGATCATTATGCCCAGTTGTTTATTCATTCATTTATTCAACAAATCAATCAATCATTCATTCATTTATTAATTTATTCATTCGTTCAACCAACAAATTAACCAACCAACCAACCAACCACAACCAACCACAACCAACCAACCAACCAATCAACCAACCAACCATAGAACCACTTAAAATTCCCCGACAACGAGGAGGATGGCGGTGTAGTTGTGTCTGACGACGCCAAGGATCTTATGCTGAAGTTGATCACAACGCCAGACAGGAGGCTGGGTCTGGAAGGAATTTCGGATTTCAAGGCACATCCGTTTTTTGCCGGGATCGATTGGGATAATATTCGGAATTGTGAGTGCCGTTTGTCCGTTTTAAAAGTTGTCAGTGTGAGATAAGTTAGAGAACTGTCATTAGTTTGCTAGATTTTTGTTTATGTTAGTATTTGTGTTTCTCTCTCTCTCTCTCTCTCTCTCTCTCTCTTTTTATCTCTACCTACCTCCTCTTTTTTATCTTTTCAAATTTTTTTAAAACCAACCCAGCCAAAGCTCCATTCATACCAGAGGTAAATAGTCCAACCGATACGTCCAACTTTGATGTCGACGATGCTGATTTCCGATCTAATGTTAGTATTACATCATAATCATCATCATCATCATCTCTACCAACATCATCATCATCATCTCTACCAACATCATCATCTCTACCAACATCATCATCATCATCATCATCTCTACCAACATAATCATCATCATCTCTATCAACATCATCATCATCATCTCTATCAACATCATCATCATCATCTCTATCAACATCATCATCATCATCATTCTATCAATGTTATTTTTGTCAATGTTTGATGAGTCTGTATAACTTTATTGTCATTCATAATCATTACATCGTTGATATCGTTATCAGTATCGTTATTATATCATCGCAATCATCATCATCAACATCACGTGATCGTCACTTAGGAAACAGTTCCTCCAACGTCAAACTCGGCATTCACTGGGAGACATCTTCCATTCGTCGGTTTCACTTTCACTTCTAATAGGTCTGGGAATATTTTTTATTTTATAATTATTTATTTTTTTATTATACTAGTGCTACTACTACTACTACTGCTACTACTACTACTACTACTACTACTACTAAAAATTAGGATAATAATAACAATAAGGGTAATAATAACATTAGCTGCACTCATAACATTGAAACATGAAAAAAATTCTTCAAACCCAGTCGCCTCTCTGATTTAGGATCTTTGATACTCAGCGATCACGACGTCACAGATATCATGCCGAAATCGTCGTCGACATCGACATTGACTCATTCTTCTTCTAAGAAGGTCAAGGTGAATGGAACCACGGCTGGTAAAAATGATCATGAGCTTCATATTGAGAGATTGGAAAAGGAGAAAAACGAACTGTTGAAACAGCTAAGAGGTTTGTTTGTTTGTTTGTATGTATGTATGAATGTGTGAATGTGTGTGTGTGTGTGTGTGTGTGTGTGTGTGTGGTGTGTGTGTATATATGTGAGTGTATGTGTTTATGTGAGTATGTATGCATGCACGTACGACGTACGTACATATGTATGTTTGTTTGTATGCATACATGTATTTGTTTGTCTGTGCTATTGTATGCTTTCACATTTCATTGACATTTGCACACAAAAACTGCATATACATCTACACTAATTACATTTATGATTCATAAAATATTCTTCTATATACAATTTCTTTCATCCAGAAGCCGATCCGTTATTTGGCGGTCATCATCATCTTCCTCATCACCACCACCAGCCGAACAGTCCGTCGCAGGGAATCCCGGATAGCTCCCATGTGATGATGGAGGATGAACGTAGGCCATATTATACGCTGGATAGATCCTTTAATAAGGGCAGGCTGGAGAGGGAGAGTCTGAGCAAGGTGAGAGGAGGTTTTGTTTCGGTTGTTTGTATGTTTAGTTGTATGTTTGGTTGGTTTGTATGTTTGGCTGGTTTTGTATGTCTGTTTGTTTTGTTTAATGTTGTTTGTTAGTTTCGTATGTTTTTTTTTACGTTTTGTATGTTTATTTGTAATACATGTCCCTCTTCATCATTATTATTGTCGTCGTCGTCATCATTATCAGGAGCATGATGAACTGAGGGAAAAAAACAGACAACTAGTAGCTGAAATAAAGGAATTAAAAGTGAAGATGCAAGCAGACAGTCTAGACTTGAATGAAAAGTTTACAATTATTCATTCATTCATTCATTCATTCATTCATTCATTCATTCATTCATTCATTCATTCATTCATTCATTCGTTTATTCATTCATTCATTCATTCGTTCATTCATTCATGCATTTATGCATTCATTCATTCATCTGCTCATTCACTCAGGTTATCAGACTCGAAGGTAGTCAGGCAGAAACTGACCAGACAGTTGAAGGAGAGAGAGGAAGAATTGAGAGAGACGACAACAAAGTTAGACAGAGCGAAAGATGACCTCAAAAAATACCTCACTGCCAATAAAGAGGTCGAGCTTGTTTGCTTGTGTACGGTGTGTCTGTTTATATAGCGACAATAATTACATCATCGTCTACATCGTCCCCACCAAAACAACAACAACAACATCTTTCCAAAACAACAACAACATCTTTCCAAAACAACAACAACATCTTTCCAAAACAACAACATTACCATCTCTCCAAACAAAACAACAGCTCCAAGACTCTCTAACAGAGGCTACTTTGGAACTCGACAAGCAACGCATGTTACTGGAGAATGCAAACTCGGCGTGCCAGGAATTTGAGGAAGAACTTAAATCCTTGAAACAGGACAAAAAATCCGGCGATCAAAAAGATGAATCGCTTATGGAGATTAATAAGTTGGTTTTTGTCTGTCTGTCTGTCTGCCTGATTGTCTGCCCTTTTGAATGTGTGTCTTTGTATGTATGTGTGGGTGTTTATATCTGTATATGTGTGTGTATGTGTTGGTGTTTATATCTGTGTGTATATATATATATATATATATATATATATATATATATATATATATATATATATATATGTGTGTGTGTGTGTGTGCGTGTGTGCGTGTGTTTGTGTGAAAATTTTAACATCTTTTTTTTTAAAAGATTGAGATCTGAGTTAGAGAAATGTCGCCTGAGGCATGAAGAGGAATACACGAGACTGCAACTGAGGTGCAACAATGAACTGCAGAAGCTGAAGGATCAGTTGTCGGAGTCTGATTCACACAGGTAGGTGTCTGTCTGTCTATCTGTCTGTCTATCCTGTCTGTCCGTTGTCTTGATTGTGGATTTTTTTTATAAGTATCTATGTAAAAACGCAGGGTTCAGCTGCAGTCGGATATGGATACCTTGAAGCACTCATTTGAATCGGTGAAGAGAGATCTGACGGAGAGGCAGGAGCTGTACGAAGAGGAGAGAGTGAAGATGGAGAGAGAGAAGGATATCATGCTGGCCGACATAAGCAAGATTATGGATGAGTTGGAATCGGTTGGCTGGCTGGCTGGCTGATTCGTAAAATGAATAAATGAACGAATGAATGGGTGAATGAACGAGCAATAGAATGATTGAACGATAGAATGAATGAAAAATTGTGAAAAAAAATTTTTTTGACCAGTTGCAAACTAGTTACGACACACTGGAAAGCGAAAAGTCTAGTATAGAAACAGAATTACAAGAATTGAAAGATAAGAAAATGACACCTCAACAGATTGATCAGCAGATCAATGACATCATCAGTTGGTTAGTTCGTTCTTCATTCATTCATTCGTTCGTTCATTCATTCATTCATTCATTCATTCATTCATTCATTCATTCATTCATCGAATGTTCACAGGGTGAACGACGAGAAAGAGGCGCGAACGTACTTGGAAGGTTTGGCAAACAGGTTGAACGCAGAACTGGAGGATATCAAACAATCTGGTGTTCAGACTGTTGTAAGTTCTTTGCCGTTCGTTCGTTCGTTCGTTCGTTCGTTCGTTCGTTCATTCGTTCGTTCTACATTGTTACAAGTACTGGTACAGCTCTCCATAAAAAAAATTAAAACATTTCAGGATAAGATGTGGAAGAATAGAAGATCGCAGAAGTTAGACAAGAAGACAATCCTTGATCTCCAGTCCAGCCTCAACAGTGAAATACAAGCTAAGGAGAACATTGGCAAGGAGTTGAGCCTTGCTAAGTCTAAGCAACTTGAAGCTGAGAGGTTTGTTGCTTTGTTGGTTGGTTGGTTGATTTATTTATTCATTCATTCATCCATTCGCCGTCACCAAGTAAATGCAAAGACCTTGAGAAACAGCTGGAAGAACATAAGAAAGAGATTAACAAGATTCAAGTAGAGCTCAATTATGAAAAGGCTAAAGGCATTGAAAGAGGTATTTTTCATTCATTCTTTCTTTCTTTTTCATTCATTCATTCATCCATTCATTCATTCATCCATTCATTCATTCATTCATTCATCCATCCATTATTCATTCATACTTCCATTGTTCGTCCATTCATTCATTCATTTAAAATTTCTCCCACTCACCCGTCATTTCTTCCAGCTTTAAACTGGAGTCAGCTGATATACAGCAGCAGTAGTAACACAAATGGTCCCATGAAAAGTTTCATCCACGATGTACGTGTCCACACTAATTAATTACAATAATTAATTAATTAACCAATTAACTAATTAACATAATAATTTGTTAATATTTTGACTTATTTATTAATAAGATTATTTTTAATAAATCAATGATATTTTATTATTGGCGAAAGAAATGATTGTTAGAATTATAATAATAGAAGTGGTAGTTGTTCCATTGTTCGTTCACCTGTTCATTCGTTCGTTCGTTCATAATTTCATTCACTCGTCTACTTATTCATTAATTCATTCATCCATCCATCCATTCATTCCGTTCATTCATTCATTCATTCATTCATTTATTCATCTAATTGATAATTACCATATTAATAGACTGATTAATTAAACACGAACGCACAACACAGTCTCGATCTAACAGTGATGTCAGTGGTGATAGGATTAGTATGGATAGGCCTGGGTCTGGCAATAACCTCAATAAACGAGATGTATGTTTGTTTGTTTTTTTGTTGGCGTTTTTTCGTTTGTTTATGTGTGTTTGTATACGTGTGTGTGTGTTTGTTTGTGTACATGTTGTGTTTCTGTGTCGTCTGTCTACGCTTATAATTGTTTATGCGAAATAAACCTCAATTTTATTTGTCTTTTTTTCTTTTCTACAGAGTCATCAGTCGCCAAGTTCATCCATAATTCAACAGCAGCAGCAGCAAACGCCGTCACCACAACAACAGCCACAACAGCAACCACAACAGCCACAGTCGACAATAACAGCGAAATCCTTAAATCGAAATTCCCAGCAGCTCTCTCCAACGACATCGACGACGGCGTTTACAACGTCAACGCCGCTGCTACAGGTTTTGAAAAAGCAGCAGCAGCAGCAGCATAAATTTTCGACCATTTCGTTTAATGAATTTCACAAGTGTCAGTATTGTACGTCGTTGCTGTTTGGTCTCGAGAGGCAAGGCATGGTTTGTGAAAGTTAGTTGCTGTTTTTGTTGTTGTTTCTGTTGTTGCTGTTTCTGTTGTTGTTGTTGCTTCTGTTGTTGTTGTTGTTTTGGGGTAAACATACATGGTCGTTGTTAGCGCAATCAACGACAACAACAACAACAATGACATTACGAACGTTAACATCAACAACAAAATCAACAATAACATCAATAAAAGCAAACACATCAACAAAAAAACAGATTGTTCATATTCATGCCACATACACTGTGCTAGGAAGGTCCCTCCAATATGTCCCATACCTGCTGATTTACGTGAGTTATTATTATTATTGTATTATTATTATTATGTTTTTGTAATTATTATTATTATTATTATTGTATTATTATTATTTTGTTGTTATTGTTATTATTATTGTTGTTATCCAGTAGACCGTCCAATTGGAATAGACCCCAACAAAGGCATTGGTACTGCATACGAGGGCTATGCCAAAGTCTGTCATTCATTTTTATTCATTCATTAGTTTTTTACTTTTTCTTTCATTCATTCATTCATTCATTCATTCATTCATTCATTCATTCATTCATTTATTCATTCATTCATTCATTCATTCATTTATTCATTTTGGCGATCAGTCAGTTTGCTCAGTCAATCAGTCAGTCAATCAATCGATCAACATCTCTATCAGTCTATCTATGTTCTTGTTCAATCAATCAATTTATCTATTTATCAATCGAAAAACCCCATTTAAACAATTAATCAATCATTCAATCATTTAAACAATCAATCAAACAAAAACCAATCAATCAGCCATTCAATTAGTCAATCAATCGATCGATCGACAATCAATTAGAAAAAAAACCAACCAATCATCTTTCAGATACCCAAACCTGGTGGCATCCGGAAGGGCTGGATGAAACAGTTTGTTGTCGTCTGCGACTTCAAAATATTTCTCTACGACACGACGTCAGAGAAGTCGATAGCGTCACAGCAACAACAACAACACGTGACCAACGTCATCAGTCAGGTGATCGATATGAGGTTAGTCGCCTTTTGATAGGATATGGCGGGAGAGCTGCTGGCAATGACGATGATAATAAAAATGGTAGTACGATGATTAAGATGATATAACAATTATGGCGATGATGGTGATAATAATTCTACTACTTATAATAATTATGACAGTAGTTATAATTATATAAATTATGACAGAGATGAAGATTTCAGTGTGTCATCTGTATCAGAGAGTGAAGTTATCCATGCTGATAAAAAAGATATACCTTTTATCTTTAAGGTAAGTCGGGATGATGATATATCGTAAGTTGATAGTTGATAGATAGATAGATAGATAGAGAGAGAGAGAGAGAGAGAGAGAGAGAGAGAGAGAGAGAGAGGAGAGAGAGAGAGAGAGAGAGGAGAGAGAGAGAGAGAGAGAGAAAGAGAATTACAAAAGGATGAAAAAATGATCTAAACATCACAAACTGGCACAGATAAGAACATCCATGCTGTCTCCACCTGGCTTGAAGTTCCACCTGCTGATGTTGGCGGACAACGAGCAGGATAGGATGAGGTGGGTTTGTGCCCTCAGCGAGTTGCACAAGGTCCTCATCAGGAATAAGATACCCAATAAGGCTGTTAGTGATTCCTTCCTCCGTTCCTTCATTCATTCAGTTATTCGTTTATTCATTCATTTGTTCATTCATTTACTCACTCATTCACTCATTCATTCATTCACTCATTCATTCATTCATTCATTCGTCCATAGGTTTATACAGCAAGACAGATATATGATGAACAGTTTCCATCACTATTCAAACTCAACTCTGTTGCTATAGCAGGTTTTTTTTAATTGTTGTTGTACATACATGCATGCGTACACACACACACACGCACGCACGTACACACACACATACACAATACATACATACACACACAACACATACATACACACGCGCGCGCGCACACCCACACACAGATAAGGATCGCTTATTGTTTGGTACAGAAGAAGGGATGTACTTAATTGAACTTTCGAAAGATGGTTGATTGTTGTTATTGATGTTGTTGTTGATTTAATCTTTTGTTGTTGTTGTTGTTGATGATGATTTAATCTGTTGTTGTTGTTATTGTTGTTGTTGTTATTTATTTCTTGTTGATGTTATTTTTTCTTGATAACTTTGTTGCTTTTTTGATTTAAAATGTCATTGCCTTTGTCGGTGTAATCATTATTCCGACTAATTGACAGTTTGATTGATTCGTTTGTATTTCATTCATTCATTCATTCATTCATATTTTCACAGTGATAATAAAGGTAGGCGAGAGGAACAAATGTTTTCAGTTAGATGTCATCTCAGAGGAGCAAGTCATCATTGCTATCATAGGTCAGTTTTGTTTGTATGTATGTATGTTTGTTTGCATGTATGTATGTATGTTTGTTTGTTTGTTTGTATGTATGTATGTATGTATGTATGCATGTTTGTTTGTTTGTATGTATGTGTGTGTATGTATGCTAGTATGCTATCTTCGTCTGCTTATTTGCATGTCGTATCGTTCGTTTATGACATAACTACGCGAAATGACGTCACATCACATACGCCCGATACGATGACGTCATCCCACGTCTCTCGGTGATGTAACAGGAAAACAGAGAACCCTCCACCTCCTCCCGACCTCCATCCTGGAGTCAGACAGAGGATTGGAGTCGGCGGTTAAGTTAGATGAGTATCGGAGTGTTTCTCTTTTCGTCACATGTTCACCGTCATCACGCCATCATCCTAGCTCTGTACAGCAGCAACAAAACCAACAAAAACTTCAGCAACAAGTTAGTGATTAGTGGATGGCTGGATTTTATTTAAGTGTGTGTGTGCGTGTGTGTGTGTGTTTGTTTTCGTAATTGGTAGTACAGTTGTTGATGGCAAAGTGATAGAATGATGGTGAAATCTTATGTGGTGATGAACCTGGTTATGCTATTGTCATTTTCAAATTCATCATCATATATAATATTGCCATTATCATTGTCATCACTGACTCATCGTCACCACCACCACTGTGTAGTCATCATCGTTTTCCTCTGCACCTCCACCACCATCATCATCATCGTCGACCTTCCTATCATCGCCTGCCTCGACGACGGGTGCCGTTGGGAACCCCGGAGTGTTGCTGTGCATCGCCTGCAAGCGAGTCATCTCTGTCTGCGAGATTGGCAAGGTAGCTGGAAGGAAGAGGTGTAGAAAGATTAAGGTCAGTCGGATGAGGATGGTGATTGCTCTGGTTATTTTTGTTATGATGGTGATGATGAGGTTATATATAGCGAGACTGATAATGGTGACATCAGTAGTAACAACAGCGATGAAGATGATGATGATGAGGACGACGATGACGACGACGATGATGATGATGATGGTGGTGGTACTATGACGTCATCCTCCTTCCAGGATATCCAATGCAAGAACGAAGTGCACTGCATGGACGTGAAGTATGGAAGGTTGTTCGTCGGCTGCACGTCCTCCTTCTACATATACACACTCATCAATGATGGCAGTTCTCTCTCGATATGTGCGTTTTCATCGGGTGTTTTTTGTGTTTTACATTCAGCTGTGACATGCGCTGAACCGATGATTACATTTAATAAACTGTTTTTAGTAGTTGAATTTTCGCGCCATATGCACATTATACACACATGATAGTTTTTGAGTTTCGCACAGTCGTATTCGAACCAGGTCATCGCGCAATAAAGACTTGAGGTATGGCACTTCTACCGACTGAGCTAACTCGCCGACCATGCATGTGATAGCATGTGACCTTTTTGCATTCCAATCAACCACTGGAACGTAAGTATGATAGGTGTCGCTAGTAGCGGCAATAGTAATATTATTTTAAAGTTAGTAAAGTTACTGAAAATTTTGAGAAATTGGTAAAAATTTTGGCTTCAGCTTTACTGAATGCTGATGACCCGTCACTGAATTACATATCTCAAACGCCTGTCACCGCATACGCTGTCATGGAGACGCAACAAAATGATTACTTACTGGTGTTCTCAAGTTCGTGCTTTTTCATTCATTGTATGTTTTCGTGTGTGCGCGCGTGCGCGCGTGTGTGTGTGTGCGTGTGTGTGCGCGCGTGTGTGTTTGTGTGTGCCCGTTTGCATGTGTGTGTGAGTGTAGGACCACCAGAATCATAACTGGATCTAAACAGTCAACCATGGTTTAATATGACACGAAATTTAAACTTCTCAAAATTCACTATTAATTTTCAAATGGCCTTCTTTTATAAGCAGTTGACGAACAGACTGCCTATATATATATATATATATATATATATATATATATATATATATATATATATATATATATATATTTCGAGGTAA